CTGTTATCCTTACTGTCATTTCCTAACATCAACACTTTAACAGAATAGCTCCACTAATAATCTTTGCAGACTGAAGTGCTATATGGTGTGTACCAAATAAGGTCAATCTTCCCTCACTTAGCATATAAAGGGCCCTCACAATCCAGCAGTTTACACTTTTATTTTTTTAGTTTCATCTATGCTGCTGCTCTCTGTCTTTCAAAAGCTCCTCTTCCACAAATAACCTCTCCCTTGCCATACTTCAACCCTTCCTTCAACATTTGTTTATCCAATAAACAATGTTTACATTGCTTAGCCCCTATTCCAAAGGTCATCTCTTTGTGACTTTTTGTGATCTTTCCAGAAGAATCATCTGTGATTCAGCCTGTGATCTTACTTTGCTTAATATATTCCTCTGTATGACTGACTACCTTGCACTAGTTTAAGTATAGACTTATACATCCTTTCCTCCTGTTGCTCCTTGAGTATCATGCTTTACTCATTTTTATTCTTTATGCATAAAATATCTAGGTTCTCTACTCATTCATTCATCTGCCATTATTTTAATTTCTCCAAATCCAAAAGGGTAATAATGTGTAATAATCACTGATAACTTTGGCACTGTGAGAGTAAAATAAATTAAGGATTCTGGGTTTGTAAGTCAGTAGTAGAGTACTCGCCTAGCATATGGGATTGGGCTCATCCTTTGCCAGAGTGGGGGGATGGAGGATCAAGGGTTAAGTTTATGTCCATAAATCTGAAAGATGGTTTGGATTTAAATGGGCATTGGGAGTCTATCCTGTTACAAAGGGAGCATCAGGTATCCATGGCTACAAAATATCTGATGGGACTGGGGTTGTAGTGCTGGGTGGCCCATGCCTGTATACTAACTAGAGGCAGAGATCAGGAGGATCGAGGTTCAAAGCCCACCTGGGCAAATAGTTTGGTGAGACCCTACCTATCTCGAAAAAAATCCATCTCTCTCTCACACATGCACACACACACACATACACACAAAGGGTTGGTGGAGTGGCTGAAGGTGTAGGCCCCCCTAAAAAAAAAAAGAATTCAACATATTTACTCAGGGCCTACTAAATTCCCATCACTATTCTGAGCAATGGGAAAAGCAGGTGAACCAGGACATAAGGTCTCTGCGCTCATGGATCTTACATTCTAATAAGGAAAACACAAATACATAATGTAATAAATACCATGAGGACACATATAGTAAAGCTGGGGTGAGGGGAGGGGAGGACTTGCTATTTTGAAGAGACTGGTGAGGGAAGGCCTTCTAAAAAGAAGACATTTCACTAAGAACTACTGAATGCAGGATCTGAGCCATATATAAATATCAGCAGGGAAAGTCTTCTAGGCAGAAGACAGCAAATGGAAAGAACCAAGGACAAGACTACGCTTGGTACATTCAAAAATAATGTGGCTGTGGCACAGTACATGAAGGAGAGTGACAGAAAATGAAGCCATAGCTCATATCAGGTAAAATAACAAGATCAGCAGAAAAAGTGAGTACAGGTGAAGTTTCATCTTATAAACTCACTCAGACCCCTAACACTCTACTATACATAAACTAATATTGAATTACACCACAATGGCAGTATGAGAAGTTAGCATATAAAGATAAAGAAAGTAAGGTCAATATCCATATTCTACTGATGATTCTCCAATTTCTAGTCCTGATTTTTTTTTTGGGGGGGGTGGGACTGGGGTTTGAACTCAGGGCATTGAGGTTGCAAACCACTTGAGCCACACCTCTAGTCCATTTTGCTCTAGCTATATGAGACGGGGTCTGGCGAAATACTTGCTGAGCTAGCCTCAAACCTGAGATCCTCCTGATCTCAGCCTCCCAAGTAGCTATGGTCACAGGCCTCACTCACAATTGCTAGACAGGTGCTCTACCACTTGAGCCACTCCACCAGCCCTTTTTTGTGTTTAGTATTTTTTAAAATAGGGACTCTCGAACCATTTTGCCTGGGCTGGCTTTGAACCATGATCCTCCTGCCTCTGTCTCCTGAGTAGGTAGGATTACAGGCATAAGCCACTGGCGTCTGGCTCTGTTCTTAAACCTAACTTCAACATTTTGTCCTCTCCACAGGTCTAATACTCAATTTGGCACACACACCTCTTTCCCCTGCCCAGCTGCCTTAGCAGTTGAGGCAGGCCCCCTGATTCTTACTGGAATTTTCAAAGACATGCTCAAATGGCTTGTTATAGGTATTTCCTATCCATTCTAATGTACCATTAGGTATAGATATTCTAATGTACCATTTTTTTTTTCAATTTCCTAAACTAAAACATTCCTATTATTCATCTCACCTCATTCCAACCAGGAATCCAGTTGTATAAACCCTGCTCTTCATTACTTTGAAATCTGACAGGTCTCTTTCTTTTCCATTTCTACTGCCACCATTAAGCACAGATTATAAAAGTTTCCCATGATTTTTCTTCATTCAACCTCTACCCTTTATCAATGTGTAAGGTATTCAATACTGTCATAAAGCAATTTTCTTCCATCATTTTACCATTCTATTCATAGTCTTTAATGGACACTTAACCTTAGTTTTCAGGACTCTCAAAAATTAACACTATGGAGGATGACAGAGTGGCTCAAAGGTAGAGTACCAGCCTAACAAGCGTGAGGCCCTAAGTTCAAACCCCAGTACCATACATACATATACATATACATATAATCACATTATGGGAACTGTGGAGTGACTCAAGTGGTAGAGTGCGTGCCTAGCAAGAATGTGGCCCTGAGTTCCAACCCCAATACCATACCTAAAAGACCCCACAAAATTTCAGTATGGCCAGGCACTGGCGGCTCATGCCTGTAACCTTAGCTACTCAGGAGGATCAAGAGGATCATGATTCAAAGTCAGCCCAGACAAATAGTTCAAGAGACCCTATCTCAAAAATACCCAACACAAAACAGGGCTGGCTGTGTGGCTCAAGTAGTAGAGTGCACCTGCCTAGCAACCATAAGGTCCTGAGTTCAAACTACAGTACCACCAAAAACAAACAAACAAAAAAACTCATATTACATATAGTGATAACTAAAACATTCCACTGAAATACTGTTTACAAAGTGCTTTTACTTTCTGAGATGAAAAAAAAACTGTGGATCTCGTATCTTAAGCACCCTGTCCAATATCCCACATTTAACTAAAATGAAGAAGCAGAGGTTTCTAAGGACTCAAATACCCTAATTACACCCATGCCTTTCCCACCCTGTTTCACCACATAAGAAACGTATGAGCTGGAAGCCCGTGCCTCACACCTGCAATCCTAGCTACTTGGGAGGATTGCGGCTCAAGGCAGCTTGAGCAGATAGTTCGTGAGACCCCATCTCCAAAATAACCACAACAAAATGGAATGGAGGTATGGCTCAAGGTATGGCTATGATGGCCTGCCTAGCAAGGGTAAACCTTAGGTTCAAATCCCAGTACCACAAAGAAAAGAGAGATGAAATATGGTTGCCATGTTGGTAATCTCACTGGGGAAGACAGAGGCAGGATAATAAGTTCAAAGTTCAAAGAGAACAAAGCAAGAACCTGTCTTGAGGGGGGGGAAAAATATATATATATATATGAAAGAAATAGATGGATATGCCAACGGGAATATACCAACAGGAAAAACATCAAAGTACCTGGATGTTCTGACATTAACTACTGCATTTGTTATGCAAATCAAGTATCTACAAAAAGAATGAACAGCCATGTCACTTCTGTGCCCAAAATCTGTCAGCTGTTTCTTCTAGTATAGCATGTAGACAAGTTGAAAACTCCTTAGACAATCAAACTTTGACAATCTGACTCTTAATCACCTCTTAATCCAAGCTATGAATCAATCAACCAAAATCCAAATACAACAAAGTATTTTAAAATGTCATTCTAATGATAATTGTAGCCAATCTACCATCACTGTTACATTTAAGTAAGAATGGCAAACAAAAAGATAACCAGGGAGAAGACCAGTATATTACCAATCCTTCAGTCACTTTAATTTAAAACCTATTTGTGAAATACTGAGTTTTGTAGAGAAAAATGTATTACTGAAATGAACACTAAAACTTCTAACATTCCTTTCCTCTTTTTAAGTAACTGTAATTTAAAGATGGGGGCTGGGGGGGTGGAATGTGGTCCAAACAATGTATACATACACACATGTGAGTAAATGTAAAAACTATAAAAAAAAAAAAAAAAAAAGATTTAGAGTTCATGGTGGCTCCATCCAATCCCTAAAAATTTAACCTCTGGATCTTATTTCTGCAGAATGTGAATAATATTAATCTTGTATGACTATTGTGCAAATTAAATGACAGAATGTGAATTACCTAGCGCTACGCCGGAAAAAAAAAGTTAAAAAAAATTATTCCTCTAATTGTTAACTGTTCAATAATTAGATCAGCATGGAAACCTTCACTTTTGTCTCGTTCTCCAATTCTCCTGTCTATAACATTTTGCTAATGAGGTTAAAAATGGTTCATTCACCATTATTCATTTGCATTCTAGGGATATCCAGGAATTCAGGCGGAGGCACTATCTCAAAGTGATCTGATTTTTAGTTGTACACAGAGGTTTTCTTTAGGGCTCTGATCAACGTCTTGCTCACAGTAGGTGATCAATGTTTTTTTTTTTTTGAAATATTGGAATGAATGGAAACCTATAGCCAAACAGCAGTCTCAAAATCTACTCCACGTCTGAATCACCTACATTCCCTTCGCGAGACATGATGACCTAAGGATGACCTAAATTCTGCTTTCAACTTCCATCACTGGGCTAAATTCCAGGAACTCACATAAAAGTGAAGCAACAATGGAAGCACGCTCAGGTGGAGGTAACACGGCGCCTATGACAGTACAGATGCTGAATTTCCAAACAGCACAACTGGAATACAATGAAATCAATATGTATAACACTAAGAATAAAACATTAGAATGCCTTCCGCCCCTTATCTTTTGAAAATATCCCCTTGACGCTACATCAGTTTGTTACATTGTAACTCACCTGTTTTTTCAGTTATATCTGAATCGGGGGTATTTGCCCTGCTAACTTCCCCTTCAGCATTCTCCTCTTCAGCACTAAGAGAAATTGGTGAAGAAGGGCCGGGTTGCGGGGGTTGGGGAAGCTGGGGGGTTGCTTCGGGAGCTTCCTCAACCTTATTTCTTTTCTCAAAGCGAAAACGATCCAAGTTGAAAAGATTCATCGTGGGTAGAAACCACCACCCTGGAGGGGGGCTGGGACGTTTAAATGCACTATCTGCAGGAGAGAAATAAAAAGAAGGAAAAAGGCCATGAAAACAATGTACAATACAAAGCCCCAGCACCTCTTCCCGGGGAATAAAGGGACCGCACACATGCCAGTGGTTCGGGACTATTACAGCCGCGCTTCATTGTTAGGCCGCCACTATCAGAGGTGGACAAGGGAATCTCTGAAATGTCCATCGCTCCTCTTCCCCCCTTCCTCCCTCGATCCCCCCCCCCATGCTCCCACAGCGAGCTGACCCTCGTGCACCCTCCTCTTACCCGGCACGCGGACGCGCCGTCCCCGCTCTAACCCCCGCGGGCCGCGCCCGCCCTCTCAGGGAGGCTGCCTGCACTACGGCGCTCTCCGCCTGGAGAAAGGACCCGCCAGGGCCCGCGCCTCCACACTGCGGGGACACAAAGGGGCCAGAGGAGGGGAGCGGCGGAGGCCGTGCGGGCGGGCACCCGCCCGGAAGTTGACGCGGCGCGATCCCAGCTGAGAGGAAGCGGACAGGATCCCGAACGCATTGGGAGCTTCAGCGGGGAGTGTGCTCGCTCGCTCGCTCGCTGTTTCCCTTTCCCCCATCAATACTTACCGTGTTGCAGCCTCCGTGCGACGTAACAAAGGTGGAAAGAAAAAATAATCCCTGGCGTAAGGCGACGGTAGCCGGGCCGGGACCTTCCAAAACAGCACAGAAAAAAAAAAAAAAAAAAACCTAAGGAGCGCGCAGTGATGACGTAACACGCAGCCGGAGCCTTTTTCCTTCTCAAGCGAAAAGCGAACGGGAAAGGTCCCGGCGCGCGCCGTTGTCATGGTAACTCGTACCCGCCTCTTTCCCGGTTCTAAGGATGGGATTGTTTTGCACCTTCTGTTTCTCCAGGTTACCTCAAGGGCTGTTGAAGAGGACGGTAATAAATAACAAATAGTACAATGACAATAGCATCCTAATACGGAATTAACATAGAGTTTAAATATTATAATGCATGTTAAATGTAAAATATAAATGGCATAATAATATTGTGCTGTCTTATGAAATAACTACTGTTACAAAATAAGGAAAGTGAGAGCTGCAAATGTTAGTGAGAGGCAAAAATCTGATGATGAATTTCAAGGCACTTGATCTGCTTCACCACTTTTCGCAGAACTGTTCTTAAAGTGGAATGCGACAATGTACATTGTGGGGTTTTTTTTTGTGTTTTTTGTTGTTGTTTTTCTCGGTAATGGGGTTTGAACTCAGTGCCTTCATCTTGAGCCACTCCACCAGCCCTATTTTTGTGAAGGGTTTTTCAAGATAGGATCTCACGGAACTATTTGCCTTGGTTGGCTTCGAACCACCATCCTCCTAATCTCTGCCTCCTCAGTAGCTAGGATTACAGGCGTGAGCCAGCTTTTTGTTGTTTTTTTGAAGTGTGGGCTCACCTTGTAGCCAAGGCTGGCCTCAAACTGCTTCAGCCTCCTGAGTGCTAGGATCACATGCGTGCACCAACATGCCAGGCTAATTTACTTATCTTGGTGGAAATACTACCTTGCGGGTTTTTTTGGCCTGGGCTATCTCTAATTATGATCTTCCTGATCCCTGTCTCACGAGTAGCTTGGATTACAGATGTAAGCCACAGTGCTTGGACAAGTGTTGTTAATTGTATAATTACAAGGTGAACACACAGTTTTATCAAATATAGGCACACATAAAATCAAGTGTCTGGACCCATTAAATTAAAGATCAAAATCTGAACAATTGAGATTTGCATTATATCTATTTTTGGTTGGCTTTTTCTTTCTTTTTGCATTGCTGGGATTTGAACTCAGGGCCCTATAGTAGTTGTTACCACCTTGTTGCCAGCACTTAGCTGCTGCAGGTAGGGACTTCTGAGAAAGACCACCAACTTCATCTGCAGCTGCAAAGATGGTCCCTGCTTACAAATTTAGTTAGGCTGCCCCTGCACCACTAGACCACTTGCTCAAGGTATTGCTGAACTTTGAATCACAGCCAGCAACATCATTCTCTCTTTCAGGACCTCATTTTAATTTAACTACTCTCTAAAGACCCTATCTCCAAATGTGGTCACACTCTGGGGTGCTGGAGCTTGGAACTTTAACATAGGAATTTTGTGTAGAACACAATTAAGCCCATAATAGAGTGAGAGAACTGGGTGAAGGCTTCTGGAATGATGCCAGGAGACAGGGCTGACAGTCAGCTCTTGAGTTTTCCCCATTATAACCCTAAATTGACCTATGTTCAGTCCTTGACACTCTGCTTATCACACTCTACTCTTTGCCAGAGTAGATTGACTATAGTGGTGACCGGGTATTTTTGCCACATCTTACCAAACTACAGAATTAAAAAGAGTGATTTAGGGCCAAGGGAAAAGCTGCTCCTAGGAGATAAAGATGACTTTGCCCTAGATAAGGAGCTCCTTTGTGCTTAGGCCTGAATTGGCTTTTTTAGGTATGTTCCTGCCTTAGGCTGTCCCAAAAGCTTGTTTACTGAGGGGAAAGGCTTGGCCAGAATTCCCGAGGGCCAGCCCCAAGAAGAGCCAGGAGCAGGGAAGAAACAAGAAGGCTGACTCTGACTGTAAATTATAGTTCAATAAACCTAACAAGTTGGGTTTTTTTTGGTGGGACTAGGGTTTGAACTCAGGGCTTTGTGCTTGCAAAGCAGGTTCTCTACCATTTAAGCCAAACCTCCAATCCATTTTGCTATGGTTGTTTTGGAGATGGGCGGGGGGAGGGGGGGTCTCCTGAACTATTGGCATGGGTTGCCCTGGAACAGCAATCCTCCTGATCTCAGCCTCCCCAATAGCTATGATTACAGCTGTGAGTCACTGGCACCCAGTTTAACAAATTTCTTTTTTATTTTTATTTATTTATTTATTTGTTTTTGCTGTACGGGGGCTTGAATGCAGGGCCTACACCTTGAGCCACTCCACCAGCTCTTTTTGTGAAGGGCGTTTTCAAGAGAGGGTCTCCTGGAACTATTTGCCCAGGCTGGCTTTGAACTGCAATCCTCTTGATCTCTGCCTCCTGAGTAGCTAGGATTACAGCTGTGAGCCACTGGTGCCTAGCATAACAAATTTTTTAAGTTACTATAAACCATTATTGGTATGGAAGAAAAGTTTGAAAACAACCTCTTTCCTCAGAATGGATAGGAAAAAGACAAAAAAATAAACTCAATGAGTTTTAAAGAAATAATAAATACAGCCAGGCACTGGTAATCCTAGCTACTCAGGAGGCAGAGATCAGGATAATCTCTGTATGAAGCCAGCCAGGGCAAAAAGTTCTTGAGACCCTATCTTGAAAAAAATCCATCACAAAAAGAAGGGCTGGTGAAGTGGCTCGAGGTGTAGGCCCTGAGTTCAAGCCCCAGCACTGTAACAAAACAAAAAAGAAAAAAGAAAATGCCCACACAGACTGCCAGAATGTTCAAGGTAGAGTGCCTGCCTAGCAAGTGTGAAGCCCTGAGTACCACCAAAAAAAGATTGAACTAGATACAACACATAGAAAAACAAGCATAACAGAAAATCCCATAAGAGAAATTGAGGGTCTGGGTGGTAGACAATATTTGTAATCCCAGCACTGAGAGGCTAAGGCAGGAAGATTGTAGGTTGAAGGCCAGGCTGAGCTACATAGCAAGACCTTGTCTGAGAGAGAGAGAGGGAGGGAAGGAAGGATAGACATTAAGGACAAAATTAAAAATAGGCCAGGCACCAGTGGTTTGAACTCAGGTGTAGGCCCTGAGTTCAAACCCCAGTACCAAAATAAATAAATAAATAAATAAAATAGAAATAATAGATTTCAAGAAAAAAATTATTGAAGATAAGCAAACATGATCCAACATAACTATAATAGGAATCCCCCAAAGAAGGAAACCCAAAGAGAAGAAATAAGTAAAAACTAATTCAAGGACCATTTCCTGAAAATTGTAAAGATTTGAAATCATGCAGCCAGGCACTGGTGGCTCATGCCTACAAATCCTGGCTACTTGGGAGGCTGAGATAGAGCAAATACATGGTGAGATCCCATCTCCAAAAATAACCAGAGCAAAATGGACTTGAGGTGTGGCTCAAGTGGTATAGTGCCTGCTTTGTAAGCACAAAGTCCTTAGTTCAAATCCCAGTCCCACCAAATTAAAAAAAAATTTGCTGTGAGGTCTGATGATAATGGAATTTCTTTCCCTTAGAAGTTACTTGCTTGCTTTTGTCTTGATGTCCAAGAGACTTCCTTTTCCTGTATGGTTTTTTGGTTTTTGGCAGAACTGGAGTTTAAATTCAGAGCATCATGCTTGCTAGCCAAGTGCTCTACCACTTGAGCCACTCCATCAGCCTTCCTTTTGCTTTAAAGCCTACATGTTACTAGACTATGTCTTGGCGTTGACCATTTGGTTTGATGCTCTTAGGTAAATGAGATGTTATTCGAATGCATGATTCCAAAATGGAGTTTGGTCTGAGTTTGGTGGCAGACATCTATAATCGCAGCATTTGGAAGGCCAAGGCAGAAGGATCAGAAGTTAAGAGTCTAGACTAGGCTACATAGCAAGACTCTGTCTCAAAAAACAAAAAACAAACAATAAAGGAAATTGGACTTTGTATTTAAGATATTTTATATCAAATATTTTGTATCAGGCAGAAGTGCCTTTCAAATATACAGGAACAAATATACTATTAATGTCAAGTACGAACTCTGTAGCTATTGTTCATCAGTGCTACTGAAGTGTCTATCAGAAATGAGATTCAAAAAACCAGAATGTCTGGTGGAACTGGGATTTGAACTCAGGGCCTCGCTTGAGCCACTCCACCAGCCCTCTTTTTGTGTTACGGGTGTTTTTGAGATAGGGTCTCTTGAACTATTTGTCTAGGCTGGCTTTGAACTGCTATCCTCCTGATCTCTGCCTCCTGAGTAGCTAGGATTACAGGCGTGAGCCCCCAGCACCTAGCTAATGATCAATATTTATTGTCACACTGTTACTCTGTAGACATTCTGTAATCCTAGCTACTCAGGAGGCAGAGATCAGGAGAATCACAGTTCAAAGCCAGCCTGGGCAAATAGTTCATGAGACCCTATCTCAAAACACTCTATCACAAAAAATTGGGCTGGTGGAGTGGCTCAAGGTGAAGGCCCTAAGTTCAAGCCCAAGTACCACAAAAAAAAAAAATTGATCATTAACTATATAGTTAAAAAATATTAATCATTAATTATAGTTACTTGTTACTTGTAGAATATAGAAAATACAAGGTTTAAAAGGAAGGCAATACTGTATACAATGGCTATGATCTGAAAATATACACCTCTTAAAAAAGGAGATGAGGGGAGGGGCATATTGGCCTAAGTGGTTGAGCACTTGCCTAGCAAGCATGAGGTCCTGAATTCCAATTTCAATACTTAAAAAAAAGGGAAGAGAGTGCTATGAACATATGCAAAAAAATGTTTTAACAGTTTTCAGTAAATGCATTGGAGTGTTTTCTTCTTATTATTCTGAGACCAATGTGTTTACATTGTGAAATAGAACAAATTAATAATTATTAAAATTTTGAATTCTATTATTTCTTGTTTTTTGATGGTACAAATATAATTG